GGCAACATGAGAGTTGAATGGTATGAAGCGACCACCAGGTGACGGACAACCTATGGAGACAGATCAAGGACCGCTCATAGCTGCTTAGAATGGAGAGAAGCGAGAAGTTTTGCTGACACTCACTGCAGGACGCTGGATTAGAGGCAGCATCTGCCAAGAATCGGTGACATTCGGTGACGTTTTACAAGCACATGCTAGTACAGTACTATAGTACTGTAGTACAGTACTAGAATGTACTATAGTACTTTAGTAGTACAGTACTGTAATGTACTATAGTGCTCTAGTAGGCTCTAGTAGTACAGTACTGCAGAAGCCCCTATTTTACGGAAAGGCGCGTGGACTTTCCGGGCTGGCGCGCGACGAGGCACAGTGCTGGTCTTGTTCAAGCTGAACCGCTAATCTGAATCCGCTTGCATAAGGGATTCCTGTAGTGCTATATTCCTATGGTATTAGTAGAACTTACGGTAATATTTCTACAGCACTACAGTACTACAGTACTATACTACAGTACGAAATTTTGGTAGCATATTTATATATTGCCATAGACTTGTCATTTTGAAATTCTAGACAGTCCACGTTCTTGTTTCCTGGCAGCTCATTGTGGACCTTAGAAGCTTGGCCCGAATGACTTTGAACCAGGGCTTAGGGTCTAGGGGGACACTCATGTAGAACCTCCACGCAGAGTTCAGATATGGGGAAGCCAGATCAAGGTTATTATTGTTGGGAAGAAAAGCTTTGGGATTGAGGGGCTAGAGTTTTAGAGATGAGGGTCTGGCGTGAAGAGGCGGTCTGTGTACGCCTTCTGTTTACATAATTAAGACCAAGGCATATCCCCCCTGCAGACTACATTGGACCACATCAAGACCCTTACACAAAAAGCCGTAGGGGCAATAACGATCCTTTGGTGGAAGGAAACCCCACCCTTCACCCTTTCGGGACGGGATCCTTTCCATTTGAAGGTTTCGTTTACTGATTATGCTTGTAGCAGGTGTGCGACTTGTGGTCTTGATGTGGTGTTGAAGGGGAAGGGGTGTGTTCTGTAAATGGGAAGCAACCATGTACTTGGCCCTTGAGCCTGAGCTTGCCAAGCATCCGTCCAGATAGTAGGTAGTCATGGAAGGAACTCACACCAGGTATGTCCACATTACCTTAATTTCCTGCCCTAAATCCACTATCTCATCCCTGGGCAAGCCTGGTGATGAACATCACGGACAGGGGCAAGGGATCTAGCGTTCGGGTTCGCAAGGCCTGTCAGATTGCCAGACTCTAGCTCCTTGGTCTCCCTGGTTCTTCTGCTTTTGGCAGTTGATTGCGTTCGCCCTGTACACCAGCCACCATGGGACGTGGACCATCCTGTTTTCGGTGGGACCGCGTTGCAAATCTGGCCTTGAAGCCCCAAGTAGGACTTAATCTGAAAGGTCGAGCATCGAGCTCAGTCCTGAACGCCTCCCATCTATTCTGGACGAGACATTCCAACACATTCCTCGGTTTCCGTACCAACCATGTCAGGGCAGTTTCTATTTCCTTGTAATCCAAAGTCTGAATGCAGATGTAATCGCAAGGGACATTCATGTCTCCAACGCAGTCGCACATTCTCAGACATGGCCAAGAAATTGGCCCCGTACCTTCAATGAGAGCACTCCAGCTTTGCAGGTGAATGTACGTGTACTCATTGTGCCGCCCCGGACATAATACATTGGTCCCATATCGCAGTCCTGCTTTGATCTAGGACACGGTTAGGGAATGGATTGACGCTTTGCTGGCAGGTGGCAGCTCAGCTGGATGATGCTCAGCTTCACCTCGAGGCGCCTGACATCGCGACAATTCCGCAAGTGCCTCAGAACCAGATCTTGTCTCTTGATGATCTCTTCTTGGAAATATCCTGGGTGTTCGTAACTGCGGCTATAATTTTGAGTGTTCGTCATTGGCATGGTCATTGTGGTCGCGGTTACTGTCCTTAAACTCGCTCAGATGTTGGAGTCTCAGCCTGCAGTTGTGGCATAGCTTCCATTAAACAGAGGAGTAGTTGCTGGGGCTTTCTGCTCTCGCACGGTCAGCCTATGTCATGTACAACGCCTGCACAGGAATGACTCCGATATTGTGAAGGGATGATTTTTCTCCAAACGCAAAGCACAGATCTCCCTCTCCCATCTTCTTGGGCGATTTGAGCTTTTGCTCCAGGCCCGAAAATTGGCCTGGGCTTTGATTCTCAGCCTGCTCTGTCAGAGCATCCATGTAGAGGAGGAGTTGCTTAGCAACGTGGCTGCGGCTATTGTCACAGGTGCTGTTGCTGCCACTCCTACTAGGTCCTACTGCCCTTACCCTATTGCTTCTTCTCACCAATGGTGTGGCCATCCTTGTAGGATTCCCTGAGATATATGATGCTCATACGCGCTTGAGGTCGCCCTCATTCCCATCATCTTCCTTGCAGTCAACGCCCTCTAGAGCCAATGCCTGAAGCCGATGCGCAGTATTTAGCCAGCTTTGGCTGGACAACTACTGCAGCTGCTTGATATGGTTTCCAATTACACTGCCTAAGCCGAGACAGGAGCAAACGGAAAATAGGCAGAAAATAGATACATAGATGTATGGTTGCAAATCATAGATCACTATAGATACATGAGGAAGCGTGGGTAGAGCTGGCGTCTCGGAGGCCCACGGGAAGACTGGAACTCATCTCCGGACAGATGGCTTGACTTTGCTGGCGTGGCATGCCTGTTGAGCTTGACAGCTAACACCTGGTATTGTATGTAGACTTAGGGTTTAGGGCTTAG